CTATGAGACTGGCAAAGTAGCGGTGTCAGCGCGCGCAATGAGTTCAGACGTTCGATGGCGCCGAATTCTCCATGAATTCATGTGCTAAGGGAACAATATGATTTGAGTTTTTGGTCTTTTTATCAAATATATTTAGCATGAAGCAATCTCAAAGAAATAACATCCTGGTTAAAGTTATGTAAAACCTAAAAGTTAAGACATATTACATTGACTTTATGGCTAAAAACTTGTTTATAATTTATCCAATTTTTTAATCAAAATACTCATAATAAATACAACATATTAAAAATCAAATATTATCCGATATAGTGTAACGGCTAGCACGGTCCGCTTTCACCGGGCAGTTCGGGGTTCGATTCCCCGTATCGGAGCTTTATTTTTCAACTTTTTAGCAAAGCTGGATTGATACAGGAAGGAAAAATTGTTACTCCTCTAACGGAATTACACTATGTATATTTACTTTAAACTATACTCCTATTTAACTTAAACAATATGAAATTAGGAAATACCCTTTACAATATCATCCCATTCTTTTTCAAGCGTGTCAACCTAATAATTGAATATTTGTTAGTCTAATCTGAATTTAATATGGCAATTATGGCAGGTTTGATGCACTTACAAAATCCCAAAAGGATGGTTCTTCCAAAACCTGCAAAATTTGTTTTCTTAAACCATTTTCAAATTTTGGCTTTTTTAGTGGTCTTTCCAACAAACTTGAGAACGTTGTTTTACTATTAATGGGTAAAATAACTGTGTCGATGGGTGGTATGAAAGGCTCTGGTTCAGCTTGAGATACTGGTAGCTGTGTGGGATTTAAAGATAAAACTTGCGAACTAACCTGAGAAGCACTTTGAGAAGCACTAACAATCGGGATATCGGCAGAACAGGAACTGAGCTGGCCTGAGGATTTGTCATTCTCATGAACATGTGATATATTTACAGTATTTGCATCTTTATCCAAAATAGTAACGGTATCTTGTGAAGAGTTTGCAGTTACCGGTGATAGGAATTCAGTGGTAACAGTTGCTGAAGAAATTAGTGGGCCAGAGGTGGTGATTAAAGTTTGAACATATGGAAGAGACTTAGCAGGTGAAACTTGAGTAGGAGGCAGCGATAAAGCTTCAGTTAGACTATTGTAGCTCTTCTCTACCGTCTTATTGGTCGCAACAGAAACAGTTGAATTTGAACAGTTGAAGCTAGAGCTTTCTTTCTGTATACCAGTGAGTGAAATGGAGTTACTAATAGCTGAGTCTTGTACAAAATAAATGGTATTTTTGTTGGCGTCTGAACTTGGTTTATTGAAAACATGCCCCAAATTAATTGACGAAGATGCATCATTGAGATGACTTTTACTTAACAATAGATCACTTGTTAAATGATAGTTAGAGACCTTGGAAATATCGATTGGCTTGCTAACACTTGAAAACTCTGGTTGTGTGGGGTTGTTCATAAAAGAACCTTGTGAGCATTGAGTATCAGCAAAAGCTGTTTTCTCTCTTTCCTCAGACAGTATCAATGTTGCTAAATAATTGTAAATAAGTCTGCATTTTTGGAAAATCAATAATTTAATAAGGTAACCTACATGTATTGTATACTTCCATATCGCTTTCCTGAGGAAATGCTTGGATAGAATGACTTGTATCACTTATTTCTGAGGTCTTAGTCGATTCTTCACCTACAGCTGTGCCATGCAAAGGGATGCTACTGAGATTGGATCGAGTCTTCTCAATGTCACCATCTAGAATCTTGATTGGACATTTAAGCTGTTTGAGCATTCCAACTAAATTAGTATATTCTATTATGGTGTTCAGCTTAACCTGAAACCTATAAGTCTTTTTAAAAGTCAGATACTTATGAACTAAGATAATTTATTTTAACTTATACTAACCACCGGTTTTCCATTAGACATAGCAAGGTATAGCACACCAATCATCGGAAGTTTGGCAACAACATGAATGGGAGGGGATTCTGGAGAGCAAATATTTGAAAAATCTTTGTATAACTTTTTAACATCAACATATTCCTACCATATTTGTTAGTATCGTTTGGGAGAAGCTTTAGAAACCATACCTTATTCCATTTATTGGTCTTGCCATATCCTCCTACTGCAATTTGAAAGTCATTTTGGTGCTGATGGTTACTGTAGAGTCGTATTGCCATGCTTCTGTTCTGTACATGAAACCACTCATTAGTGTCTAATGGATCAAGCACTAGTCCATTAGGTGAGGGGATATCGTTGTGATTGAATGAATATTTGGAAATACTGGCTCGGCATATCGCCGACATCTGCGACTGGTGGTTGATCTGTGACATAGCGAAAAGCCAATATCTTTGAACAAGTAAAGAAGTTTAAGTGTGAAAAAGAGCATTCAACATTATTTATGGTTCTTTCCTGTATTTCATACCGTTGATTAAAAGATGTAATTGTAGCTTCCTATTTGACAGTTCCCTATTAAGCTTTCTTGATACTGGAATGAAGGCAATCTGGTATCAGAGTCTGTTAACAAAAGCTTAATATGTAAGTCTCATTTAAGATTACATAATAACTTACATATACAATTTGTCATTGAAATGAACAAGCCACAATTTGCAGCCACAGCGGCTCAGCAAATATCACATGACAAATCGCAATTTACACGCACTGTGGCTTCATACTCTCAGCCACAATCTGGCCAATAAACCTTTCAAGAAAAGAAAAAAAAACGAAAAAACAAAAAACATTGAGCTTTTCGACAGATCAAAAAAATAAAATAAATATATTTCATTATCTCGTCGTCCTCTTCGTCTTTTTCTTTTTTTTTTTTTTTTCCATTTACTCTTCATAATCAGTCAGAACTTTGACGGGTAAACATGTCTTCTAAACAATCCACATCTTCAAGCTCAATTGTCGAGGAACTTCTCCAGGATCACCCTTTCCCCATTCCTGGTGATCTTTCCTCTTTCACTGGAGAGTATTACACTACTCATCAGATTCTTGTCCAGCAGGTTGCTCATGCTCTCTCTGGATCTATCTTTTCTTACTCTCCCGAGTCTTTTGGTCTTGACACCGCTATTTCCAAATGGAAGCATTTCTCTCAGGCTAACGCTCAGGGTGTTGTTCCTAACCTTAACCAGCTTGAGAGTAGAGCCGGAGCTGCTTCTATCTTGTTGGGATACATCTACAACAACCTTTCTAAGGATGCCAGTTTGCCAGTACCTCAGACTGTTTTGGCATCCACTGCTACTCTGAAGCTTATGGAGCCTGTACTTGCACAATACGCTGTCAAGCCTTCTAGCACTCATCCTCTGGCTTTTAATGTCGCTTCCATTGATCTTGATATTGCTTCAGGTTCTCTGGTCACTGACTACACTTCCGCTTTAAAAATCTCCAGAGATCTTGGCTTAGGTTTGATATCTTCCTCGACTATTTCTGAAGCCCAGCATATGACTCTTTTGTCTACGATCCTTTCAACCTCAGCTCCTACCATCCACATCTATGACGGTATTAGAGGCCTGCGCGAGAGTTCCAAGGCCTCAAATGTCTTGGATGTTGCCCAAATTGGCGATATATACAAGAAGATTGCTTCCAAACCCGTTTCTGGTTCCAACGCTGGTGCCCACCTTCTGTCTACTTTGAAGGACGTTAACGAGGCGCTTGGAACTTCCTACAAACCCTTTGAATATACTGGTCACGCTTCTGCAAAGACTGTTATTATTGCTTTTGGCTCCTCCGAGGCTGTTACTGCCAGCCAGGTCGCTGAACATCTTTCTCAGTCTGGACACGCTGTTGGTGCCATCAACGTCCGTGTCTACAGTCCTTTCATTGAGAGCGAGTTTTTTGCTACTCTGCCTAAATCTGCTGAAAACATTATTGTGCTTGGCCAGGTTGACGATGAGGCCAAGGTTGAAGAAGCTTCCTACCAGTCTCCTCTTTATTTGGATGTCGCCACTGCTCACACTATGAAGTACGGTTTTGCTTCTAAGGCTTCTCCCGTCATTGTTGATGCTAAGTACGCTCGCTCCAAGGTCTGGACCCGTGAGGAGATTTACAATCTTTATGATATTGCTACTCCTGCTGTTCCTGCCAGAGCTGATGTCAAGGAAGTTACTTTCTGGGATCTTGACAACTCTAAGACTGCTGATACCCCCAGTAAACTTGCTCATGTTGTCTCTCTTGACGGCGAGAACTCCGTTAGCCACATTTCCTACTATGACAACGAAGTCTTGGGTGGTGTCATCGAGTCTCAGCTCCGTGTATCTCGCGCTGCCATCAATGCTCCTTACCCCGTTGAGCATGCTGACTTTGTTTTCGTCAACAACTTAGACATTACTAAGAACTATGATGTCCTTTTCAACGCCAAGCAAGGCGCCAAGGTTCTTATTGCTGGTGCTCCTAATGTTGATGGTTTGGAGAAGGCTCTTGGCTCCAAGTTCAAGAGATCCGCTGCTGCTAAGGAAGTTTCCCTCTTCGCATATGATATTGAGGCAATTGGTGAGAACTCTGAAACTTTGGGTAAAACAAAGAGCATGGTCGAGCAAATCTCTTTCTGGAAGACGTTCTCTCCTGAACTCACGCTCAACCAGATTACCACCAAGATTGTCACTGCCAATGGCGTTGACACTGAGTTGGTTGCAGCTACCGTTGCCATCCTCATTGAGAAGGTTACCGAGACTGCTCTCTCTAAGATAGAGGTTCCCAAGGAATGGTCCCAGACTGAAGCTACTGAAGCTGAAATTGATGGTACTCTTGTCAACAACATTAAAACCATTAGTTTTGCTCCTACTGAAAAGACCACTATTCAGGAAGAAACTGGTGCTGAGGCTTCTGATTCCTGGGTTGAAGCTGCCAAGAGCCTTACTTTTAAGGAGGCTTATGGAGCAACCCAGGAGCTTAGACCTGACCTTCCTGTCAAGAACTTTGTTGCCAAGGTGCAGGAGAACCGTCGTGTCACTCCTGATGGCTACGAGCGTCACATTTTCCACTTCGAGCTTGATATTACTGGTACTGGTTTGACCTACGCCATTGGTGAGGCTTTGGGTGTTCATGCCCGTAACAATAAGAAGGATGTTACTGAATTCTTGGAGTGGTACGGAATTAACCCTGAAGCTATTGTTAGTGTTCCTGCCCGTGAGGATCCTCTCTACAACGAGGTCCGCACCGCTTACCAGGCTTTCCGTGACAACCTTGATATCTTTGGCAAGCCTCCCAAGAAGTTCTACGAATCTCTTGCTCCCTTTGCTACTGATGACAAGGAAAAGGCACATCTTGAGAAGCTTGCCTCTGCCGCTGGCGCCGAGGAGCTCAAGCACCGTGCTGAGGTTGACTTTGATTCCTTTGCTGATATCCTCAAGGAGTTCAAGTCTGCCCATCCTTCTCTTTCTGATCTTGTCC